GCGGGATCCATCCACAACAGCGTTAATCAATTGCTGTGGGCCATTGGGGTTTCTCGCGTTTTCTTTCTCCATAAACGACCGATACTCGGTGAGGTATCCCTGATGTGCACTACTATATCGGCATGTTGGCAGATTTAGAGATATACTGTCAACCTTGTATGGTGTTGGTGTGTATTCGCCGAATTGTATGAACCTATACATATCCACCGAAACATCTGTCTGCCGACCGAAATATCGGTCGATATATTGTTTGATGTATCGACCGATATATCGACCGATACTAGACACTATCTACCGATATATCGACCGATACTATCGACCGACATATCGACCCATACTAGATACTGTCGACCGATACTAAATACTATCGACCGATGTATCGACTAATCTATCGGTAGATATATCGACCGATACTAGAACATTTACCTATCGGTCGCGTGTCGGTCGAGTATCGACCGATGTAAAGTACCGGTGAAGCATCGGTGAAATATCGGTGAAGAATCGGTCAAGTATCGGTGAACCTCCAAGTATATCGACCGATAGGAGTATCGGTATAATTTTTGCGGGCGAATTTTTGCGCCTAACAGCTACTTTTTTGGTCGTTTTAGGGCAAAAATTGATTCCGTTGAGACCCTTTATAAAAGACGCCGAAAATACTAGTCTTACTCAGGCAAAAAAGTTTTTTTCATCAAAGAAATGGACATGAATATGTATTAATCTTTAAAAGAAATAAAAAAGCACTCAAATCAGGAAAGGAAAAAAATAAATTCCGAGTACGAGTTCATTTTATGCAGAAAGACAGACAAAATATGAGGCACTATGAACGGAACGTCTTATACAATGGGCGACCCATAGATCTCCGTTTGATTTCGAGCGTTTCCGTCCTATTTCGGACACTGGTTAGGTTAAATTCTGACACGTTCGTACGACTTCGGACACTTTCGTATAGGGTCCGTCTGAGTTCGATTGGTCTCTTCAAATTTCGAACCCTTCCTTTTAATTTCGGACCCTTCCATCCGTTTTTTAACTTCGGACAGTTCTGTCCGCTTTCAGACGCCTCCGTTAGATTTTGAACAGTCGCGTCCGATTTCAACCGATTCCATCAATTTCGGGTATTTTCGTCCGGTTTCGGATGCTGGCACTGTCTCATTAACTCCGGACAATTTTGCCATTTTTACTGGGATACCTGTGGTAGCCCAGTCATAAAATGCCTTTGTTTTTTTGTCGTCTTTTTTACTGGGATACCTGTGGTAGCCCAGTCATAAAATGCCTTTGTTTTTTTGTCGTCTTTTTTACTGGGATACCTGTGGTAGCCCAGTCATAAAATGCCTTTGTTTTTTTGTCTTTTTTTTTTTTTTTTTTTTTCCTCCGCCACAAAATGGAAAAATTGCGCAATAGTACCCAGTGGTCATTGGGCCCTCAACACCATGACAACTAACTGTGATCCAATGAGGGTGAAGGTGTTCACATGCTGATCACGTGTTATCTTGATGATGATTGACGTTGTCATGCACGGACAGGTCCGGGTCACATGACGAGCACGAGATTTTTGCTTAGAAAACTCTTTTGTCGGTCGTTTTATATTTCAACGTGTTTGGATTATGATCACTTAAAGCATTATAGCGCAAACGCACGAAATACTTACGGACGCATACACAAGTCGTATTGTTCGCGGCCAATCCACACTAAAAGATGTTATTGAGCGGTAATTTTGGACCGGATTGAGTCGCGAACTGTGTATCCGTTGTAGTTTCTGGTGATTTCTGCCGTTTTAAGCTTGCTTTACCATCACTGTTATTCACATCATCTACTTTTATTACGTTGGTTAAATCTGTACAGACATCACACAAACCAACTCTTGCACAAAGTATGAAGACTATATTGAAGGCTTGAAATTATATTACGATCGATTTTCATCAAGAAATGGGCCAGGAATTTTCCACAATAGTGCAAATAATCGTGAGGACTGATCGAGGAAAAGCGATTGCGTGACGCTCGGTAAGCTGTGAGATGACATGTTATTATTTACCAGACGTAAAAACTCTTCAGATTCTCAGTCTGCATTTTGTACCCACTCTGTAGTCTGCAGTCTATATTTTGTATCCGATCTGCTGTCTGCATTTTGTACTAATAGGTATCTGTGGCACCAATACAGTTTATTTTTGGTTACATTTATTCGCACAACACACATAATCTACCACAAAATACCTGTGTGTGAGGTAATTTGACATTTTCGTTCTTTTTTGTAAGAATGTAGACCACAAGTAATCCACCCACCCTACAAAAAATAACTCTTGCATGCATAGCATGCCTATGTTTTGAAATAGGTGTATGCCCTTAGCCAGACTTGAGCTCACTATTTCAGTATACTAATCCGACACCCGTAGTATCACTACACTTGATTCCAAGGATCCAGTACCATCCAGGTATCCCAGTTACCCTGCTCACAGGGTCTAGTTACTGGGATACCTGTGGTAGCCCAGTCATAAAATGCCTTTGTTTTTTTGTCGTCTTTTTTTTTTTTTTTTTTTTTTTTTTTTTTTTTTTCCTTTTTTTTTTTTTTTTTTTTTTTTTTGGGCCCTCAACACCATGACCCTGTGATCCGCCACAAAATGGAAAAATTGCGCAATAGTACCCAGAGGTCATTGGGCCCTCAATACCATGACAACTAACTGTGATCCAATGAGGTGTTCACATACTGATCACGCGTGTTATCCCTCAACTCCATGACAACTAACTGTGATCCAATGAGGTGTTCACATGCTGATCACGCGTGTTATCTTGATGATGATTGACGTTGTCATGCACAGACAGGGCCGGGTCACATGACAAACACGAGATTTTGCTTATAAAACTCTTAGGTCAGTTGTTTTGTATTTCAACGTATTTGGATTGCGATCTCCCGGAGCATTATAGCGCAAACGCGCAAAATACTTACAGACGCATATACAAGTCGTATTAATCGCGGCTAATCCACACTGAAAGATGTTATTGAGCGGTAATTTTGGAACGGATTGAGTCGCGAACGCTTGAAAGCCATGAAAGCCTTGAATGCCTTGTATGCTAAGTATGCCAATGTCTCAGTTGAAAAATGTTCACTTGTTGTAAAAAGCAAAATCTGAAATCTGAAACCAAACTGCATATACTCTATGCAATCTATTGAACAACGCTACTACCGTGAGACTGAAGAACATAGCTATAAGGGATGCAAACTGCTTGTGAAGAAAGACGACATGTTGGATTCACTTGATGGCAAGGAACGCAGCTACGATAACAGTACGAATGGTATTAATTTCACGATCAGAAAGGTGAATCTTACGTTTGTTTTCATTGTAGTTGTATGGATATTCTTTTTTAATAAATGCGTGATCCAAAACCCTGTGTTTTTTTGTGTATAATGTTGTTATGTTAAATATTGTTTACGCAATTGTCTTGTCACAAGCGGCCCAAGCTCACGTCTCGAGAAAAAGCCAACGATTAATTTATGAACGCGTCACGCGTTGTGTGACTCGGTGTTAAGTTACGAGAGGAACTGCACGTTATAAGGAATAGTACAGGGAACGAAGTATGGTCGATTTACAACGATACATATTTCGAAATATGAACATTTTTCTCGTAAAGTCAATACAAATTACTCATACCCTGTGTATCCGTTGTATTTTCTGGCGATTTCTGCCGTTTTAAGCTTGCTTTACCATCACTGTTGTTCACATCATCTACTTTTATTACGTTGATAAAATCTGTACAGACATCACACCAAGCAACTCGCGCGCAAAGTAATATGACTATATTGAAGGCTTGAAATAATATTGCGATCGATTTTCATCAAGAAATGGGCCAGGAATATTCCTCAATACTGCAAATAATCGTGAAGGCGGATCGCAGAAAAGCGATTGCGTGACGCTCGGTAAGCTGTAAGATGACATGTTATTATTTACCTGACGTAAAAACTCTTCAGATTCTTAGTCTGCATTTTGTACCCACTCTGCAGTCTGCAGTCTGCAGTCTATATTTTGTATCCGGTCTGCAGTCTGCTGTCTGCATTTTGTACTAACAGGTATCTGTGACACCAATACAGTTTATTTTTGGTTACATTTATTCGCAAAACACACGTAATCTACCACAAAATACCTGTGAGTGAGGTAATTTGACATTTTCGTTCTTTCCCACATTAATATTCTTCTCTCCTTTTGTAAGAATGTAGACATCACTCACAATGTTTCAAGTAATCCACCCACCCTACAAAAAAGGAACTCTTGCACGCATAGCATGCCTATGTTTTGAAATAGGTGTATGCCCTTGGCCAGACTTGAGCGCACTATTTCAGTATACTAGTCCGACACCCGTAGTATCAGTACACTTGATTCCAAAGATCCAGTACCATCCAGGTATCCCAGTTACCCTGCTCACAGGGTCTAGTTTTTTTTTTTTCCTCCGCCACAAAATGGAAAAATTGCGCAATAGTACCCAGAGGTCACTGGGCCCTCAACACCATGACAACTAACTGTGATCCAATGAGGTGTTCACATGCTGATCACGCGTGCTATCTTGATGATGATTGACGTTGTCATGCATGGACAGGGCCGGGTCACATGACGAACACGAGATTTTTGCCCATAAAATTCTTTTGTTAGTCGTTTTGTATTTCAACGTGTTTGGATTACGATCATCTGGAGCATTATGGCGCAAACGCTCAAAATACTTATAGACGCATACACAAGTCGTAGTGTTTGCGGCCAATCCACACAAAAAGATGTTATTGAGCGGTAATTTTGGAACGGACTGAATCGCGAACGCTTGAAAGCCATGAAAGCATTGAATGCCTTCTATGTCTTGTATGCTAAGTATGCCAATGTCTTAGTTGAAAACGTTAACTCGTTGTATAAAGCAAAATCTGAAATCTGAAACCAAACTGCATATACTCTATGCAATCTATTGAACTACACTACTACCGTGAGACTGAAGAACAAAATTCAAATGGATGCAAACTGCTTGTGAAGGGGAGTTACTACATCACGGGCGACGAGCGAGGATAGAAAAAACGACCCAAATATGAGCGGTCAGCGGTGAAACAGCTTTTATACTTCATATAGAGACATATAATTTGTTGTTCCAGAGACAATCGTGTTGTAAAGCCGAAATGTTAACAGTTTACTTCACAGTTTAAGAAATTTTTCAAAAATGTTGATTGAACTCATATCTTTTACTGCTTTAATAAACAATGGAGGCTTCGAAGAGGGAGTCAGTGGCATTCGGAAAGGCACCAAGAATAATTATATATATGGTTTGTAGCTAGCTGCGTGACGTGCGTGACGAAAAAAAAGTATCATGATTTCCGGTTGATCCATCCAGAGGTTGCGAAAAGAAATATAAACTTTAACAGTGCAATAGCGGGATTTCAGCCTGGTTGGCTTGTGGACAAGGTGCTTTTTTTTTTATTAACATAGAGTGTCTTCTCCATACAACTTTCCTCCATGAAATGCTCTCCTTTTTCATTTTTTCAAAGGTTATCGAAGCAGTTCTGTGGCGCCTGACCTTAATCCACCGAGATATTTTTGTGGCAGACAAAACTATGGCTGAAATGGTAAAGCGACATTCCAGCACTCGCTTGCTTTGGTCAGGAGAGAACTTTACCCAGATTTCTAAAATATTTATACCCATGAACAAGTCTGGGAAATCACTGGACACTTCTGGTTAGGACCTCACGATAATAATCTTTTTTAATATAAACGCACTTTAATCAAGAACCTTTTAACTGGACTTTGCATTATAAATAAATCTTTAAGCGCTCTCTTGCTTATGTTTTAAAGGTTCTGGGTCGAAAGCAGAAAACCAGATATTATTTCGATCCCATGAATGGGCGTGTACACACCATTTTGAGCAACTCAGTTCCTAAGAGCAAACTGATAGAACTGATCGATGACATCAGGTGAAATATTTTCAACTCAATGTTTTCCTTTTTATTTTGATGCATGCAGACAAAACATACTTATGTAATTGCTGTATTTTATTTGACTCTGCAGTGCCGTTGCTGATCTCAAAACGGGATGGAATTGCAAGTCATGGCTATGTGTTGAACCACTACATTACACACAGACCGATAGCTATAACTGTGGTGTGATTGTATGTCTTGTGAGTAGCATAATCACTTGCTAAAGCTCACTTTAATAGGACTGCTTCCTGGTTTCGAATGTATTAAATTTCTCTTTGTTTGTTTTAAGTTTGCTCGGTGTTTGTGTGAGGGGTTGAATATCAATGGAAGTTACGATGTGGACATGGAAAGGGAAAGAATAACGTCTGTCATATTTGGCTCGTGTTATGATGACCTTGATTGGTAAGTTTTGATGGTGTCAAATACCATTGTTTCTTAAACGTCGCAACACTCTCTTTGACGTCCCATATCTTTTGTTCAATTATAGGAGAAATACCGCGGTCTGTAAGATTTGCAAAGACGACGATGGAGAAGATTGGCTTGGGTGCGATAGCTGTGGCCAGTTTTTCCATGCAAGTTGTCTGGATGTGCCTTTCGCGGAGACGCTTACGCAACATTTCACCTGCCCTTAGGGTGGCTTCTTGTCAGTACAAGTAGAGTTTAAATTTTAAAGCTGACTATAACAATGAACCAGATGATGAACTTAATGTCATGTACAGACCTTAATTTGTAAGATAAGAAATACAGTCCTTGGTAGTAGATAGATTTTCACGAGCGTCAATGGTGCAGAATCGTAACTTGATGGAACCAACAGTGGACAACATCCCAGAATTCAAACTTTGTGATTTTTTTCTCGGCTTAAACGCTAAGTCAGTTGTTCAATTGAATAGGAAGAAAAACATTTCAAACGGAAAACAGAATTATTTGCACGTGTGGATCTTTTGAGAAAACGTCTCCTAAACGAGTGGTCTTGATTATAAATATTTAAGGAATGGTAAATACATTAGCCTTAACATGGCTGTTTCTCGAAGCTCAGTGTTTTCCTACTTGCCTTTTTTCCACGTGAATTGGGGGCGATTGAATAGATATAATGTGCAGTAAAAGAACTTCAGCTGATAGAAATTTTAAATTTCTCATCTTAGGTTGTGGATACAAAATTCAAGTGAAAAGGAAGCCAACTGTGATTAATGCTTTGAACAAGTCAAGATACCTTTTTTTCGTCACACAACAAGTTACATAACGTTAATATCATTCTTCTTGATGCCTTTCCCGGTGTCACCAATGCCTTCTCCGATGCTTCCGTTGGTTAATAGAGCATTAAAAGTATTGTTCCAGTTAAAGCTTGAGGAAAATTGTTTTATTTTTTTAAGTAGCGAAGTGTAACTTGGTAACATTTCGGCTTTACAACACGATTGTTTTCTGCAACTACAAAACGTACATTTAATTCTTCTTGGTACTTTTCGGATGCCACCGATGCCTTCATTGTTTATTAAAGCAGTAAAAGATATATGTACAATCAACACTTTTGAATTGCTTAACATTTTATTTAGCGAAGTAGACTGTTTACACTTCGGCTTTACAACACGATTGTTTCCTGATACTACAAATGATCTGTCTATATATGAAGTATTAAAGTTGTTTTACCGCTGACCACTCGTATTTGGGTCGTTTTTTCTATCCCCGCTCGTCGCCCGTGATGTAGTAACTCCCCTTGTGAAGAAAGACGCCATGTTGGATTCACTTGATGCCAGGGAACGTAGCTACGATAACAGTGCGAATGGTATTAATTTCACGATCAGAAAGGTGAATCTTATATTTGTTTTCATTGTAGTTGTATGGATATTCTTTTTTAATAAATACATGATCCAAAATCCCGTGTTTTTTCTGTATAATGTTTTTATGTCAAGTATTGTTTACTCAATTGTCTTGTCACAGGCAACCCAAGGTCACGTCTCGAGAAAAAGCCAACGATTAATTCACGAACGCGTCACGCGTTGTGTGACTCAGAGTAAGTTATGCTAGGAACCGTTGAAAATTTGAACACGTTATAAGGAATAGGGAACGAAATATGGTCGATTTACAACGATAAATATTTCGAAATATGAAGATTTTTCTCGTAAAATCGATAAAACTTACTCATACCCTGTGTATCCGTTGTAGTTTCTGGCGATTGTTGCCGTTTTAAGCTTGCTTTACCATCACTATTATTCACGTCATCTACTTTTATTACATTGGTAAAAAATCTGTACAGACATCACACCAACCAACTATGTTGAAGGCTTGAAATTATATTACGATCGATTTTCATCAAGAAATGGGCCAGGAATTTTCCACAATAGTGCAAATAATCGTGAAGGCTGATCGCGGAAAAGCGATTGCGTGACGCTCGGTAAGCTGTAAGATGACATGTTATTATATACCAGACGTAAAAACTCTTCAGATTCTCAGTCTGCACTTTGTACCCACTCTGCAGTCTATATTTTGTATCCGGTCTGCAGTCTGCTGTCTACATTTTGTACTAACAGGTATCTGTGGCACCAATACAGTTTATTTTTGGTTACATTTATTCGCACAACACACATAACCTACCACAAAATACCTGTGTGAGGTAATTCGACATTTTCATTTTTTTCCCGCGTTAATAATCTTCTTTCCTTTTGTAATATTGTAGTAGACTTACAATTAATCAAGTAATCCACCCACCCTACAAAAAATAACTCTTGCGTGCATAGCATGCCTATGTTTTGAGACAGGTGTATGCCCTTGGCCAGACTTGAGCTCACTATTTCAGTATACTAGTCCGACACGCGTAGTATCACTACACTTGATTCCACGGATCCAGTACCATCCAGGTATCCCAGTTACCCTGCTCACAGGGTCTAGTTCTCCACAAATTCCTCACTTTCTTTGATATGAAATTTCATCATAAATTCACTTTCTGCCGCGGAGGTAATTTGTGTTCTCTCACAGTAGAATTAATGGTCAAATATTTACTGACAATGCATCAGCGAAAAGACGTTTCGTCAAAGTCATTTAATCACCCTGCTGTTAGAAATAATTATTGTACAGACATCTTTATTATAGAATCTTGCACGAAACAGGTTGTGAAACCAAAGAAACTCAATTTTTTCCTATCAAAGATAAAAAATAGCTCGAAGGAAGCGTTTTAGTTTGAAGTTAACTGAAATTTTTTAACAAGTTTTCTCTTTCCAACACTTTTGCCAAAAATGTTTATATTTCTGAACTCTCCTTTTTTTAAATAAAAAGCTCCTTGCAGGTGCTATCTTGAATTAACGAGGCTGCAAAATTACCACAGATCTAATTTTGGAATAAACTTTAAGCCAACTGTTAGCCAGTAGAAATAGGGGTTCAGTGCAATTAGTTAATCATTATGATGATTAACAATTAGTTACTCATTATGATGCGAAGTACAGACGAAGCTATCTCATTCGATTGCGATCCAATTAAGGGTAGTAGTTACGACAGCCCCACATTAAGAACCAGCAAGAAAAACATCGCTTAAATCCAGAGAGGATATTACCGGCCTATTTAATGCTGAAACGCATTGGAAACGTTTGTAGTCGGGATTGGACGAGCAAAGGAAACGAATTTTCTTCTTATAGGTAAGAATCAGTCCAAACTATACTTATGTACAATTATGGGTAAATTTGCCTGAAGAGCGCGTTAACAGGTCAACTTATCAACTCCTGTTGCGCAAAGCATTTTCTGAAGCACTGCGATATTCTCTATGCGTCGAAAGTTACACTTATCTCAAGTGATTCCTTTTCAAACAGCTGTAGCCAACATGCAAATTTAAAAATATGGTTAAAATGCTTCAATTCTAGGCGTACTTAAAATTGGACTTTCAAAAGTTGTTTGATTTGCGAGGAAATAGAGAAAGAAAGTAGAAAATATCACAAGGTTATTTCTCACTTTCAGCTGAAGCTCCAGTTTGTTTGAATGAGGATCCACTAGATTGTTAAAACAACACTTTAGCACTTTTTGTTTTTAAATAATAATTTACAAGTAAACAAGGATTAAAGAATAGGCACCTTTGTGCAATAAATA